TACGAACACAAATTGGTAAATATTTAAAAAGCCGGGCTTAGGAGAGGTTTCTAATAGTTTAATGTGACTCGGGTTTTCATTTCGAAGGAAAAGTTAGGACAAATGGATCAATGTACTGGCTACACCTAAAACCCAAGGATTGCCCTAGAGTAAGGACTGAGACCCCCGATAAATCCAGAGTCATAGGAAAGTGAGGCAAGGACTTTCTAAGATAATTGGAAGGTCTTCTCCAAAGCAAGCACGTTTCGGTTTCCGAAAAGGCCAGTTCATTAATTCCTTCCAGCCAGCTTATCTCGCAAGATGAAAAGTTGAGCCACACAATTGATTGTAGATGCTAAATGACAATGACATGTTTGATTGTATTTCGATCAAAATCTGTAAAAAAAAATATGCAAATTATTATCGAAAAGACGGACACCTAAGAAAAGCATAATGTTAAGTCGTGAAGATTATCTTTTAAGGAGATACTGCAATGAAGCACAACGTCTAAGCCGATTTCCGGGAAGCATATAAGGGATTAATAAGAGAGGAATTAGGCCGTTTTTGACAAAAAAATGAGATAAAATAGCTATGCCTTGATGAAAAATGAGGCAACTTTATTTGACTATTAACTAAGAATGTTGTCAAAATATGAAAACCTTGTGTCAATTTGTGGAGGAAATAACGATGATAGTAAAAACAATTGCCGTATAGTCGATCAAGCTGTCGATAAGACGACTTACCATCGGCAACTGCCTGACGAACAGAAGCCTTTCTAAGTCAGTAACCGAAGTACTTGTCTCATTCACACCTAGCTTGTCCAGATGCGCTTGACAAACCGAAAGACGAGTTAACGCCCCGTTGTGGAGACGACGCAGGAATATAGTTGGAAAGTCGCTAGTCGAAGTTGCCGAGGTGGGTAGAGCTTTAGATATAGTGAGCTCTTGAATAGATTCAGGCCAAATTCCGGTCAGACCTTGAATGGCATAGAAGACATCCGAAAGGATTCGCGAAACCTAAAAGAAGATTATACAAATAATATGAGGAAAAAAAGATATACTGGTGAAAGCTTAGATTACATTGTGATGCTTATATAAAAGCTAAAAAGTTTAAGCAAAATTTTATTGGGATAAAGCGTGGTTTCAAGTAATAAAAGAAGATTTTAAAACTAATAGAGTTAGATTTACGGAATAAATATACGTTTAAAAAACAAGAGATAAAAATAACTACACAGTGTCCTATGATCCCAAAGAAACAACAAATAAACAAGAAGTATATGACTAGTAAAATAAGTGTATCTGGAACAAAATGAAGCTGGTGACACAAGTAAAGAATTGATTATTCGTTTAATTACAAATGATC